GTATGGATTGTAATAAGAGCTGTACGAGCCCCCAGTAAATTGATTTTTTTAGTATATGTTCAGGTATTGATTTTAGAAAGTTTCGTAGAGGAAGTGATACCTAAAAAAACGTTTGCAAATATGATTTGATGAGATTGCAGAAAAAAATTCTACTGATTAAATTCTAGAAACATCAGGGGGTGAATTATTTTTATGTATGGATTGTGATAAGAGTTATGATTGTGATAAGAGCCCCAAATAAAATTCTTTTTAAAAAAGAATAACGGGATATATTGAAAAACTGAATTTGAAGCCAACACTTGTAGTATAGGCATATGTAAAGTACCTGGATAGGTGGTTCCTTCACAGAACTGTACCTGCTGAGTTCCAAAATACTATCATGCTATGAAAAAATCACTTTATTATTTATTCAATGAAGTTGATAAGCATCCAAGGATAAAATCTTTCTTTAAAATATTTATCTATTTTTCAGAACTATCTGAAATCACTAAAATTGAAAGTGTATCCATCTATCTGAAGTCAAAGCTTGTGTGTTTATGATGTTGCTCTGATTCCTGAGCAGGATCTGCTTGATGCCTCCACTCGCCCTCAGTGGTTGCAGGGAGCTTAGTGAGACATCTGGCCTGTTGAAGGCACATTGATTGGAAAGCAGTGTTAACTCTCCTTTCCTGCCCTATGTTTGGATAGTACTTTTGTAATTAAAGGGGCAGTGTTTGCTTGGGATCTAAAGTAAATATTTTTTTAAAATTTAAAGACTATCCAGTTTTCAATACCACCCTTAAGATTTTCAGTGACTAACTCCTGTGGAGTGAACATCCTATTCCTTCTTTATCGTCCTGTTTAGCCTGGAAGCTCTGCTGAAACCTGTTCACAGACCCTGCCTGTATTTGAAAATACCAGGGACAACACCTCCAGCATCACAGCAACACACAAGCCACCACAGTTTGACAAGCTAACAGACAGTGGTGGTGACTTGAAGCACTTGCTGATGAAAATCAGGAATTGTAGCCTTCTGCGTGGATTACAGCTCATTGTAAAGAAGACCCCACTCCTCACAACTGGACCAGTAGGTAACACCACGATAAATGGAGAAAGACTGACTGTCAATAATTTCATCTTGCTTGGATTCACAATCAATAACAGTCAAGAGATTACATGGCACATTGCATTGGGTAAATCTGTTGCACTTTAAAGTGTTGAAAAGCCAGCATTTTACTTGGAGGACTAAGGTGTGACTGACCCAAGCCAAGGTATTTTCAATTGTCTCATATGTTGGACATTGAATAAGGAAGACAGAAGAATTGGTGCATTTGAATTGTGGTGTTGGTTAAGAGTATTGAAAGCACCTTGGACTTTCAAAAAAAACAACAAATCTGTTTTGGAAGAAGTACAGCCAGAATGCTCTTTAGAAGCAAGGATGGAAAGACTTCATCTCAAATTTTGGACAAGTTGTCAGGACAGAGCCGTGCTTGTAAAAGAACCTTATGTTTGGTAAATCAAAAATGAGGAAGGCCCTTAAGGAGATGGATTGACACATTGGCTGCACCAATGGGCTCAAACATGACAGCAATCGTGACCATAATGCAGGACCAGGCCGTGTTTTATTCTGTTGTTTCAGCACCAGGTTGGCACCTAACAACAACCACATCCAAGTTTGATCCAGAATGCTTATAACCTAGAGAATATTATGAAAGAGTTGTACTTCTTCATTTCTTTCTGACACTCATAATAGAACATCTCTCACCTTCATACTCCCAGAGTTTATTAAAGGCTTGCCCTGGTGGAGCTGGTGGTGCTGGAGGGTCATTGAAGAAGGGGGCCCACACTTCCATCACTAATCCTTGAACTGCAGGTTTAAATCGGAGAGACACAGGTGTGTGCATCACTACCATACTGTTCCATGTGTTCGTAATTCTGTATTCCAACTGTCAAAATGAGACAAGAGAATATGATATAAGTAAATAAAATAAACATTTTTGCTAACATACCCAGGGAAATAAACAATCCTTTCTTTATTCTAGGGAATTCTACAAATTGCAGTAAAATGTCTTTATATAGTAATCACCCCATCAAAATTTGTACAAAAAATAGTATGAGACATTGTTTCGTGGGACTTAATACACAAAATACTTTACTTACATAGCATGTATTATGCTCAGTGGTATAGATTTGTTTTTATTCATTTTAAAAACAATTTTGGAGGCTATACTAGGTGTATAGCATTTCACTGTGTCCTGGACAGGAAATTAAAAAGAAGTAGAAGATAATGATCTGCACCCTAAAAACATGTCTTTATAATTAAAAAGAAAACAAATGGAGCATCTACAAACAATGGAGCATAAATTTAAAACCTGGTTTGATAACACAGAAAAGTAATAGAAACCTGTGTATGAACATGAGTTGGAGTAATCAAAAATGCCTTTGTGGGATTTCAGCTTCACAGGAAAGAAGATACATTTGTTGGGTATCACTGTCTCATGGATGTTTAGCTTGTCTACTCTAATTTTGAGGGTTTTTTTAGAGCTCAAAGTAGTAACTTATCAATTGGTTGGTATTTATTGTGCACATTTCATACTAGATGCCCTTCTATGCCTTCCTCCAGAAGGTACTAGAATGTTGTTCACATGTAGGCATTCCTTAAATGCTTGTAAATTGCTAACCAATGAATATAAGAAATTTATCATGAAATTGTGATTACCATCTGTCATGGTTTATGCTGTCGTGTTGGAAACACAAAACCAAGACTTTCCCCCTGCCCTCAAATGGCTCACATTCTACAGGAAAATACTCAATTGTGGATAACATGGGATAAAGCAGTGCAAAAGGTGCTTAATAGAGGAATGTGCCCCCTGAGCAGGAAGCTTGTAGTTTTGATAGCAGGAATTGAAAGAGCTAAGAGATCAACAAAGCAAAATGGAAAGACATTGCAATTGAGTCTTAGAAGATAGGAAGGAACAGAACTGGAATGGAAACAAATATATTTCAAATACAAGAAACAGCATGAACAAAAGCACAGAGCAATATGGATGCTGAAGGAAGAGCTAATCAAAAATAGGACATATGGTCCACGTCCGTGTGGTTGTGTGGAGCTAAGGTTGGAAATGACATTGGTGCAGGGGTGAAGATCACCAGAACCTAGCAGGATTTGTGTCAACAACCACATGGAAGTATTGACGGATTGTAAGCAGAGAACTTAAATGGCAAGGTTTATGTTTAGAAAGTCAGTCTGGCAGAGGTATAGAAGAACAAATATACTCTAAGAAATTTGAAGTCTTATTCAAAATTTGTCTATCCCAATTTCCCCTAACTATGTAACTCTGTTGGCAAGCTTTTATTTTCCGAGTTATAGTCTTCATTTCAAATGATTCTTATGGAATGTCTGCAAGAGAAAAGGATCTAAAAGAATAGACTTGAACTCAATTCAACAGCAACGGAATTCGTTATTCCTTCTCTGTAACATAACGCTTCTTGAATCTCCTAGTGCTAGATACTCTCGTGCCTTCTCAATTATTCATTTCTCATTATGTAAAGAAAATTAACCAAAGTAATTCTGACTGAAAGAAAGAAAAGCAAATTTCAGAGCCAAGAATAAATTACTGTAAGCATTAAAGGCTATAGGTTTAAACAGACGTTTAGAAAACTATGCCATCATAAAAGCCAAAGAAATTCATCTGCACAAAAGTTTAAAATTCCACATATTCAATGATATGATTGTTCTTTCGCTCCTAAGTATTTTCAAATTATGTCTAGTGCTGAACTATTTTTGCTTAGAAAAAGAGTTGGAACAAGTTTTAAAGAAAAAGTGTTGGAACAAGTATTATGCTGTGTTTCTCTCTCTCTCTCTCTCTGCTCTGTCTTAAAGGGCAGCTGAGTCAGACTTGACTTGGAGTGTGTGTGTTCCTATTCTAATATTCCCAAATGGTCAAAGGCATTCCTCTAATCATTTGAATATTGCAATTAAAATATGATCTATAGTTAAAATTCAAAGTGTTCAAATCATTTTCATTTTAGTAGAAAATCTCACTTTTGCTATTTGTGTTATTTCTAGCTTGTAAACATCAAATACCAACAAGACAATTCTCACTTGTTGCATAAAATAAAACAAATAAAGATAGACAGGTAGCACATTTTAAAAAATTGTAATACACCAAAAAAGTATACATAAGTATGTGTAAAAGATATCCTCATTTCTTAAGGAAAAAAATTAGAGGAAAGAACCAAGAGGCAAAAGCTATATAAAGTGGGATCAATATAGGCATGTATATATGTAAATACATTAATATATAATGACAGCAGTATTGTACATATATTTATATGTTAGTTATGAAGGCAGCAGGTGGACTTTGGGCATCTACTTGTCTTCCCTCAACACAAGAACACTTTTTTCTAATAACCTGGCACTGTGTGATACTCATCTTCCCTACATGATTGCTGAAGACATAATGGGAGCATAAGCAAATGGGGTGAAGAAAGTTGATGGTGCTCATCCATTAAAAGATATAGTCTCCGGGGTCTTAAAGGCTTGAAGTTAAACAAGCGACCATCTAGCAGGGAAACAACAAAGCTCGCATGGAAGAAGCACACCAGTCTGTGTAATCACGAGGTGTTGACGGGATCAGGTATCAGAAGATCAAAAACAAACAACTATATTGATGTGAAGGAGAGGGGTCAGAGTGGAGACCCAAAGCCCATCTGTAGATAATTCGACATCCCTTGACAGAAGGGTCACATGGAAGGGTTGAGTCAGCCATGGTACAGTATAGCAGCAAGGAAGCACACAACATTCCTCTGGTTCTTTAATGTGTCCTCCCCCACCACTATCATGACCCCAGTTCTACCTCACAAATCTGCCTAGACCGGAGTATGCACATTGGTACAGATAAGAGCTTTCAACACACAGAATCCAGGACAAGTAAATGCCTCAGAAAATGTAATGAGAGTAGTGATACCATGAGTGTAGGGGGAAGAGGGGAAGGGAAAGAAATGGGAACCGAAAGCAATGATGGATGTGTAACACCCCCCCACCCCAAGTGGGATGAAATATGGAATGAGTAGCAGAAATATGGAATAAATAACAGAATCAGAATCATATAGTAATATATATTATATATAATAATATTATATATATTATATTATAACAGAAACATGGGTGAAGGGATACAACAGATGGTGTAAGATATGAATATATATAATATATGAATATATGAATTATACATATATAATTTATCAAGGGTTCATAAGGGTGGGAGGGGTGGGAGAGGGGAAAAAGAGGAGCTGATACCAAGGACTCAAGTAGAAAGATAATGTTTTGAAAATGGAGATGGCAACATATGTACAAGTTTGCTTGATATAATTGATTCATGGATTGTTATAATATCTGTTAGAACCTGTGGTTGTTACATAATCTGTTGTCACTTAAGACTATTGAGTGAAGGGGTGGAGTTTAACCTGTCAATCAGGTTACAGCTTGATGACCTCATTTGGAGGCACTATGGAGATAAATAGCTCACTGGAGACGGGATATACATGTACATATATACATTCCTGTTGGCATGGAGTTTTGCTGATGGCAGCCAGAGCCTTGGAGCTGGAGGAGCCACATGGAAACCCATGCCAGCACTAAGATACTTTTACCATCACTGGATCCACAAGACTTTCCACCCATTGGCCTATGATCTTCCTGCATTTGACATCATTGCATGTGTTGCATGAGTCTGAAGAAGAATTTACAGACTGGTACTCAACATGTGAGCTAATATCAGACTTATGGACTTGATCTGGACTGGGATGCTTCCTTAATGTACAAATACTCTTTATATAAATCTCTTCCCTATACACATATGAGTGTTTCTGGATTTGTTTCTCTAGTTCACCAAGACTAACACAGAGTCCCAATGATTAAAGAAAAAAAAAGAGATCCTCATTTCTAAAACCAATTTTGAATATAAATTCAGGATTTTAAAGCAAAATAAACCATACCTGTATTAGTCTGGGTACTTTGGAGAAACAAATCCACAGCAACTCACGTATAGGAGAGAGTTTTATGCAAAGAAAATGTGCATCACGAAAACATCCCAACCCAATGCTGCCCAAGCCCACAAGTCCAACATTAACCCATACCCAACACCAGTCCACAAAGTCCTTCACCTCACAAAACAGAGGCAATAATGCCGACTGCAGGAGGAAAGCTGAGTCAGTGAACGTGTAAGCATCTCAGCACTGGCAGGCGTCTCCACATGGCTGCTCCAGCACCCAGGGCTGCATCGGGATAGATCCATGCGGCTTCTCCTTGGGGATGTCTTGTAGGAAATCCATCTTGCAAGCTGAAGCAGGGAACTGCTAAGGCAGCTGCACCCGATGCAACCATCACAAAACAACAGACCCGAGAACTAGAAAGGCGAGGCTTCACCACCCATTTATCCCTCCGCCTTTCAACCAGCACATGTGATTATCAGCCAGGCTGGCACAATTAACTAACTCAATACCCAACATTTTTAGGCACTCTAATGGACAACATCTGATGTAATTAAAATGTTGACCTCTTGCTAAAATAGCTGATGTTCACCACCAAATTTTCAACTGCTTCATTTGTTTTATGTTAAAATTATGAGATCCTCATTTGATGTTAGAACGAAATAAAATAGAATCTGTGAGGATTTTTTTGTTTATTTGTTTAATGAGGTTTCGATAGAGAAATCTTATATCACCTATCATAACACAGTGACATAATTTTTCCAGATGGTATGAGCCCTGAAAGGGAAAACCAAATGTTCTAAACTGAAAGAAATACACTGCTGAAAGTCAATAAAGCACCAATAATACACTCTTTTAATGGACATGTCTTGCTTACCTATGCACCTTGTTCTAGATGGATTATATGAGGGTTATTTTGGAATTTAGGAAAGTAGATCTATTTTGGCTGCTTTGTAGAATAAAAAGCTGAGGTTGTTCAGAATCTGAATTTATTCATTTGAAATTTTATTTACTCACAGATATATCTCTCTATAGGACCCCTGATGTTGTAGTGGTTGTGCATTGGGTTGGTAACCACAAGGTGCTCAGTTCAAAAGCATCAGCCACTTCAGGGGTGAGAGATGAAGGTTTCTACTCCTATACCTAGTTAGTCTTGGAAACCCACAGGAGCAATTCTAGTGAGTTTGAGTTTATATCTCTCTCTCACTATGTATATATATAGATAGATAGATACAGATATATGGAGAGAGATCTCTGCGTGTACATATGTTTATATGTAATAAATATAAACATATTTGCTCCATAAATCTAGGTAGCCTTTTAATTTAAGTATGTATCACACATACATCAACTCAATTGAGATTTAATGTATAACATTATCACTCATGAAGATGTAAATTTATATTTATATTCCAACTACATCTTAGTCATAAGCAAATTATTAAGCAAAGTTGGGAAATTAAGTCCAAGCTTACATAAGGTCTCCTACATATATTTCTAGCAACTAGAATAGTGATGTGCTCAATACAATACCCTTATAAGAATAATAAGGAAGCTGGGTTTGGAAAGAAAATGTTACAAGTTCTTCACGGAGCTCTACCAAACTATACTATAGAACGTGTCCTCTGGTCACACAAGGTTGTCTTTGAAATTACAAGGCAGTGAATTTAGAGCTATAAAAAGGAAATATTACTTCATAACCTTTAGTTAACCTGCAGCTACCGTTTCACAGGAGGGCATAAAGTCAAATTCTGTGGTTGGATTTAAAAGCTGAATAATTTTATCGCCACTCATGATATCAGGGCTCAAGCTCGTTGCCTTCAGCACCTGGAATAGAATTCTTTATTCATTTATGTGAGTGGTCCACAGGTAGGTTGTTCTATAAACTTTCTCAGAGGTAAAACAGTGGTTCCTTGGAGTCAGATAACACCTTCTCTCCATAGTCTCTTGACTAACAGGATGATGGAGAGTAGAGGCCAAGAAAACTGTGTTCATAAACCCAAATTTACGTATTTTTATGGTATGGAATTTTCCCATGGATTCATAGGCCCACAATTTATAAGCACACATCCATTAAAACACTGACATCAGATAATTTCCAGCATTCCCGTTTCTGGGTTCTTTTATTGTGCAGGATCTTCTGTTTGGAGTTCAGGCCTCATTTTCCCAGAATGCTCTTTCCTCTTCCCTCTGTAGGAGCCCTGGTGTCATGATGGTTAAAGCACACAGCTATTAACTGAAAGGTTGTTGTTCAAACCTTCCACCCATTCCACGGGAGAAAGATGAGGCAGTCTGCTTCTGTACTGATCTACAGCCTTAGGAATGCTAAGTAGCAATTCTGTCTCTCCTATGGGGTCACCATGAGTCAGAATGGATTGTGCAGCATTCTTGGTATCTTCCTTATATAGCACTTTCGTTTGCAGGCTATTTCCTGAACCTATCATTTGCTTTAAAAATAAAAATCAAAATATCCTATTAGAACTTTTATATTTCCTTTCAAAATCTGCTATCCTTTCATCTTTAGACATTTTCCCATATTGTTATTTCCTGCTTGTGTGCCTTTCCCTAGTCTATCCCTGGAAGTGGAATAGCATTCTTTGTGTCCCCTGTTCCAAGAACCCATGTGGATTTTGATTACATTTTTAAAAAATTTTTATGAAGGATTTCCTGATCTCCTCAGATGAAAGAAGGGATCAGTCCATTCTCACCACTCATCCTGTGTATCTAAAATATTGCATCTGTGCATATTTGAAAATTATTCATTTTCTTTATTCGGAAAGCATGCATAAATGTATATGGTTTACTTCCTGTTTAACTCTCTTCTAGAATGTAAAACTCTTGCACACCGGAGTTGTAACCAAGTCATCCCTGATATGTTTGTTATACCTCAGTAAATCTTTATGGCATGAGCAGCAATTAAGTGAGAGAGGTTTGATATTGTTGTGGATATAGGCTCCTTTGACAATACTAATACGCATAACTATTACCAATATCTCTTCATAATTCTTACCTCGAGTCTTTCAGTCAGCACTTGTCTTTTTTCTTGGTTAGTTGTGAAAGTACTTTTTAGAAAAGAAGGAGAAAATTAATCTCTATAAAGCAACAGTCCTTAGATACAGAATTCATATAAAATAAATAACAACGGTTAAGTAGGAGAATGCTGAGACTGTCATTATTTTAAGCACAGTTTTGGGGTTGTTTCTGGGTAGAGTTGAATGAAGCACCAAAAATATCATTTTGTTAACCTGCTTCTTCCATCTAGTGGCAAGAAGCAGTAAGAAACAATGCCCTAGAAAAATGTTATAACCAAATGTTTCTAAACATCATTTCAGAGACTAGCAAGAGTGCAGTATCTAAGGTTTACATTATAAATATATAATCATAATTTTAAAAAATTATTATAGCAGGTAAGTAGCTTTAATTGAAAGAAGTGTCAAACTTAGTTGAATTTATGTGTTTATTTGTATATTATAGCAAAGATATCTGTTACATTTATATGAGCATACATATTTCCACACATTAAACTGGGTTGAATTTGTTATGGTTATATATGTCTATACCAAATGTGCATTTATATGCCTGTACCAAATTGTTGGATAACTACTTAGAATTCTGTCCCTTCCTCAACAATATGGCATATGGCTGCTGTGCTATTATAGGTTTCAAGAAATATAATTGAGAGCCACCAAAATTGACCTATCCAGTTGGAGTCACCAGTTAAAATGTTTTTGCAATAATGGGCATTGAAATACTTCATGACATGAGGCTTGGGGTCAATTAAGGAGGACTAAGGGGCAAAACGTAAGGAGGCAGAATCAGCTCGTCGGCATCGTTAGAGCTGCTTCAAAGACACTAATGAAAACAGCTTAGCAATGCACAGCATAATTGTGATTCTCAGCACTCTCGGCGGCCACCAGCTTATCCCTAATACATGAGGTTTGGCTGCCCTTCTCACACTTTCTGTTTGCCTCACTGCAGATGTAATTAATGTTTTAGAAGTTAAATGTGGGTTACACAGGAATGGGAAAAAAGTTCTCTAAGACAGCATGCTTTTCTCTTTACCACAGCCAAGTAAACCAATAAACAATGTCTAATCTAAATGAAGATCTGTCAAAGTTATTACATAAGTTAAGACTATAGGAGAAATATAGTGTAAACACTCATAAATATTTCAAACACCATACTTTTTGTGAAAAGCAGATAAAACTTTTGTTTGCTTCCTCATTTTCCAGGAAGGAAAACTACTGCCTTGACCCCAAAATAAATCCGAGTCTAAAAGAACTGGCTGTTGGCATTTCTCCTCTCTCTTGTCACCACCTGTGTCACACTGGAGCACGTTATGGTTTTTATTTTCCGGTGCATGTGAGGAAAGATGGAAAGAGAAGAGGGTGAGGCAAAGCAGATCGCAACATCTCGCAGTGCCATCGGAGTAAGCGGGGAGGCAGAAGGTGGGTTACACACTCCCAGTATTCCTGTGACTGGGAAACCAATCACACCACTGTCGTTTAGCTGTCTCACTAACCACGAGACTTAGGCTTCCTCTCTAATAATTAAATGGCCTCAGATAACTGTTACTATAGGGTACAAGCAAGAGTGCGGATGGGCATGGGATTTGGCAACTCAGCAGGACTACTGCCACGTATGACCGCACCTGATATATATACCATATATCACTATGGTATATCCCCACACTATGGGCTTTTGAATTGTGCTGTTGTTGCTCACTGCCATCATATCAGTTCTGACCCGTACCCACGCTAAGCACAACAGAATGACTCACACCCTGCCCTGTGCATCCTCAAAATTGTTCCTAGGCTTGAGCCCATTGTGGCAGCCACTGTGACAATCCATCTCCTTGATGTTGGTGGCAGTAAATCTGCTCCAACACACATCAGCCTGATGTACAATAAAGGAAGCACTGCCCAGTTCTGCACCATCCTCCCAATTGTTGCGATGTTCCAGCCCATTGTTGCAGCCATAGCATGGAAGGCCGTCCTCTCTTTCACTGACCAAGCACGCCATCCTTTTCCGTGGGTTGTTCTCTCCTGGGGCGAAAGACCGGGCTTTCTACTCCCATAAAGAGTCCCAGGCGCAGAAACTCACCGAGGCAGGTCTATCCTGCCCCACAGGGTCAGTATGAGTCTTCACCTTGATGGCTCTGAGTTTTGAGTTGAGTTCCCTCCTAAGAATGGGACCAGACTAAGTGAGAGAAAGAATCACAGTCTTTACTTCTAAGGAACATTCTGGCAGTAATTTTTCCATGACAAATTGATATGTTCTGGCAGTCCAGTCTCCTTTCCCGACACCATCGCTCAAATGCATCGATTTGCTGGTCTTCCTGACTCGTCCAGTTTAGCTTGTCCATGCGGTCATTGAAAGGACCATGGCTTGGATCAGGTACACGTTCCTCATTAAACTGGGCCCTTGCACAGATCTCCCCAATGCAATGCATTATTTGATTTCTTGATTGCTACTTCCATGAACATTGATTGGCAATCCATGTAAAATTAAACCTTTGATAGCATCAATTTTTGAATTGTGTCTGGACCTCCCTTAAGTTTTTATACTGTGTGAGGTAGTTAGTTTATTGTGCCAACCTGGCTGATAAACACACGTGGGGTTAATTGAAAGGCGGAGGGATAAATGGCTCAGTGAGCCTCACCTTTCTCGTTCTCAGGTCTCTTGCTTTGTGGTGGTCGGACCAGGGTGCAGCTGCCTTAGCCAGTAGGAACTGGCAAGGCTCACTTCCTTCAAGACATCCCTGAGGAGAAGCCACATGGACCTACCCCGATGCAGCCCCGGGTGCTGGAGCAGCCCTGTGGAGACCCCTGCCAGTGCTGAGATGCTTACATGTTCACTGATTTGGCTTTCCTCCTGCAGTCAGCATCATTGCGTCTGTTTTGTGAGATGGAGGAGGACTTTGTGGATTGTCGGACATAGAGGCTAATGTTGGACTTGTGGGCTTGGGCAGCACTGGGTTGGGATGTTTTCTTGATGCACACTTAACCTTTATATAAAACTCTCTCTCATATATGAGATGCTGTGGATTGGTTTCTCTAAAGTACCCAGACTAACACACTGTGGTTTACTAAAACTAGCTAATTTGATATTTTAAATTTTCCTTCACAATGAACAAGCTCAGTCCCTGAGAAGCCAATTTCAAAAAAACCATTTACATAGTCACTGGCACTAATATTTTACCCACTACATTTTAGGACTAACCTAATATCAAGGAAGAAAGGGAAACGTTTACAGTAATCACTATAAGAGTCACAGCTGGCATATCCTTTCTGAGTTTGCGTTCCTGCTGTCGTATAGCTTACCTCGGGTAAGTTACTGAAATTCTTTGAGCCTGCTTCTTCATCCATAATGTAAGAAGAATAAAGTTATCATGAAGTTGTTTTTTGGAATTAAATAAAAATGCATACGAAGTACCTGGCAAATAGTAAATGCTCAGTCGATAAGAAATATTATTGACCGCAAACACCCAATTGGCGGATGGCTGTGGAGGACGGTGGGAGCCCGAAACCCATCTGCAGTGTGTTTAGTCAGATTAAGCCGCTGGCAGATCTCTAGCCACAGGAAAAGTTCTGGAACAGCCCTACTACCAAACATAGGTCATTTTCACTCTGATTAGGCTGATCAAACTCAATGCTTGGTCAATTGCCCTCCCTCTAGCTCCAACCTGGATTTGTTCTAGGTACAAGGATCGCTTGCTTTTTCTGTGACAAAAATGTCTTCCCTAGCTTTTTAAATATTGATGGTGGGCTTTGCTTTCTTACTCATTATTTGTTTTTGTGTCTTTATATTATGATTGTTTTATCCTTACCACTTTATTTTAGTTTTGTTCTTTATTGTTTCTGTTGGTTTTACCAGTTTGTGAAGCACAGAAGTAGTGTATGCATAGAGATGAAAATTGATCCAAGGGTTTGTAAGGGATCTAGGGGTGGGGGGTGGGTGAGGAGACGGAGAGGCTGAGGAGATTTCAAGAGTAAACAATGAAGGCAGGAGCGGGAGGGAGCAACAGAACTGAATGTGATTACACAACTCATTTTAAAGGCAATTTAATCATGTTGTGAGGTTGGGGAGAGAAAATGTTCTCAAATTGTGGTAATGATGGTACAATTCTTTTTGATGTAACTGACCAATTGAATTGTATGATATGTGGATTATGTGCCAAGTAAACCAGAAAAGGGGAAAGAGTTTCAGTCTCAGAAGCTCATAGGAGCAGAACTTCCTGTCCTACAGGGTCGCTGGGAGTCCACGTTGACTCCATGGCAGTGAGTTTGAGTACAGACTCTGCTCACTCTCCCTATTATTATGAACTCTGGGACACATTAGGGAAAGGCACACAATTAACATTTACTTTCAAACACACTTTTAAAATAGACACTTCTGGATTGTATGAAATGTAATTCCTATTATATGTTCTTTATACTGGAACCCAAACTTGGGGTTCAAGTAAAAAGGGGGAAATTCTTTTAATTCGATTAACAGAGAAAAAGAGTCTATAGGATGAAATATATCTTATGTGAAATATTATAATACAAATATTGGATGTGTTCTAGGGGCAGGAGAAAGCAGAGAAGTGAAATATGCTTGGAATATTATATGCCAGACTCTGTGCTAGATATACAAATTCATTATCTCATTATGCTACAAGAGGGCACCTCATTATTATTTTTAAATTCCCGTATCTTTGGTTATCACCAATGTTGAGTGTCTTTCTCCAAGCCTCCTTGCATGTTACACATCTTGTCTTGTGAGCTACCTATTCATTTTTGTCTATTTACCTTTTAAAGCTTTGGAGTTTCCTATTGGTTTATATAAATGCTAAAAAGTAAAGAAAATATTATTTACTATCTCCCTAATATAATCATAGCTCTGGTAGTGCTATGGATTAGGGGTTAAGCTGCAACCACAAGATCAGTTGTTCCAACCCATCACTTGTTCCGTAGGAGAAAGATGAGCTGTCTGCTCCTGGACAGGTTCACAATCGAAGACCCTCTATTCAGGTTCACTCTGAGTTGGAATTGACTTGATGTCAGTGGGTTTGTTTGCTGTTGTTGTTGTTAATGTAAT